TTCTTGGATTTTGTTTTCTCACTGTTTCTGTTGTGGAAAATCGAAATAGCGCAACATCTGAAATTTCCATTTTCGTTTTTCTTTTGAAAATTTGAAATTTCGTTGTTGAAAATCCGGAATATCTTTTTATTCGAAAATTTCGATTTCCTGTTGCCTTTCCCATTATTTAGAAATCCGGAATATTTTTTCCGAAAACCGTTTTCTTAAAAACGGTACGGGTGGCATGCTTTGAAGGTTACCAGACGTGGGTATGAGAGGAGGGAGAAAGTAGGATGATAAAGGAAGAAGATACTGACAACGACAAGGGAAGAAAAGGAGGGAATCCTTCCAAAGAAAGGAAAAGTAGCGAGGAGAAGTAAGGAGAGTGAGAAGGGAAGAAGAGGGAGGAAGAAGAGAATGGTGAAACCATTTCGAAGGTTGAGCCAGAGCCGTGCGGTTGATTTACCGCTTCAGCCACTGCGCCACTTAGCATATCTCAATTGCGTAAGTCTCATTCTTGTGCGTCCCTCCACGCGTGCGCCATCTTCGAGGACAAGGAGAGACAAGGAGGATGAGAGCGGTGTACAAGAGGAGAGAAATGCGAGAAAGGAAGGACGAAGAATAAGCAAGTCGTCCAAGACTGGTTTGAGGTGATATAACGCACGAAGACAAAACGAGCTTCAGGAGAGGCCTTCAAACATTTCACACAACAAGGAGGGACACGCTGGCCGTCCCGTTCAAGCGTCTCCAAGTAATAATTCGAGTTCAGTATCCCTTTCACCCCATCGCCACCTGCGACCCCGATTGTACTACATTCTCGAAAACCTCCTGGACATCATTCCCCCTCCTCACAGCTGTAGGAACCCCATCCTCCGTCCCACTCCTCTAATTCACTACCTCCTCTTTCTTCCAATATCCATTCCTCCCTCCATCACATTGCTTCCCTCCGATCGATCTCGTCTTTCCCTATAACCAGCTCTGATCCGCACGACCCCCCCCTTCCCCCTCCCCTACCCCCGTCCCCTCTCGCCCCCCAAACTCTTATCCTCAAGAAAGCATAAGGTCTCATTCCACTTACAATTCCGCCTTGATTCAAAACGTTCACCCTTCTCCGTCGTCGCAGGAACGATACTCACAGTCCATTACTCATGCCATAAGTAGTACACATATTTATGTTTCCGTCTCGGCTTCTGAAAACAACTAGTTCCCCAGTGGGCAAGACTAATGCGGCCAGGTTTTTCCACTCCAATAAAGCGCGATTTTCTCCCAACCACAATTCCGTCGCCTCTTTGAGGCCTCTGCCCCCTACCATTGCACCCCCCCCAAATCCATCCCTTCCTTGCACAGAAGTCCCCTCTCTGTCTACACATTGGCCCCTATCATCCCACTCCCTATAGACAGTCACCCCCCTCCCAGCCCCGATCCCCGCCCCGATTTTGATTCTGACCTTAACCCGAACCCGTTCCTGACCCCGTCCCGCTCCCTACCACGACCCCGACCCCATCACGATCCCGTATCCAGCCTCGTCCCCAGTCCGATCCCATCAAGATCCAGTCCCGATCTTGATCCCAATCCCGACCTCAATACGACCCCGTTCCCGATCTCGACCCCGACCCCACCACGATTCCGACCTCATCACGATCCTGTTCACGGCCCCGATCCTAACCCGACCCCATCCCATTGCAGATCCCCATCCCATCACGACCCCAGATCCGACTCTGTAGCTGATCCCGATCGCATCCCGCTGCTGATTCCGATCCCATCACGATCCCGTTTACTACCCCCGATTCTAGTTAGATCCCATCCCGTTGCTGATCCCGATCCAGTTGCTGATTCCGATCCCCTCCCGTTACAAATCCCGACCCCATCACGATCTCGCACCCGGTCCCGACCCTAATTCCGACCTTAACTCGTCCCCGACTCCGATCCAGGTTCCATCCCCACCACGTTCCCAACCCCACTACGAACGGGTACCCAACCCCGACCCCAGCCTGATCCAATCACGATCCAGCACCGATCCTGATCCCGACCCCAACACCCGACCCCAGCCTAATCCCACCACGTTCCTGTCCCGAATTTGATCCTGACCTCAACTCAACCCCGATCCCAATCCCGACCCCACCCCCATCACAATCCCGACCCCGTCACGATCCCGTGCACGGCCCGATCCCATTTCGTGGTTGATCCCGACCCCATCCCCGAGCCCGATCCCATCCCGACCCCGTTCTCTCACCCTTATTGACGGACATCCAAATATAGAGGAGAAAACGCCGAAGAGTGTAAAGACCGACCCCCCAAGCAACGAGGAAATGGCAACCTCACCCCCAATCACGACGCCCTCAGAACAGGAGGCGCTCGAAACTGCTGTCAATGTGATCGATAATGAAGCCCTCAAATTCCTGATTGAAAGAACAAAGGTGCAGGGGATTGAGACCACCGAAAAACAGGTGGTGGACGGGAAGGAAGAAGAGATGGTCATTTGGAAATACCCAGAGGAAAAGATCGCAGAATTGGATGAAATGTAGGAAAGACATGGGGTAGTTTTCAATTTCACGCGTCATGGAGCAGAGCTGCCACCAACAGAGAAGAGGAAATTGATACTCGAAACAATCACAAAAGAACCAAAACTCAAGCAAATCGAAGGAACCTACACCTTGCAAAACTTAGGCCGTAATAGCATCATGGTAGTCTTCGTTCACGAAAGTCATGCACAATCAGCTGCTGAGATGCAATCCAGGAATTGTCACGGGTCAGTATGCACCATCACCAAGTGGAAAAAGCTCTCAGCACAAAGGCAGAACCCAGTCTTTGCGGTCTCTTACAAGCAGACCTTGATGAAAGAAAAATTATGGGTCCAGTTTGACAATATTCAACCTGGATTTCATGGTCTGCTAGTTGACAGACTGGAGAGGCAATATACAGTGAACAAAATCCTCAAATGGATTCTGCCAACACCAGAATTTCTGGCACCCCACTGTGGCTCAATGACGGCGATCTTGGACGTCCAAACAGACGATCCTCCAGTGTTCCACCAACATGGAACTTCCAGATTGAAAATAGATTGCTGGAAGTGAGGATCTCGACCAAGGCCTCACCGATATGCTTCCGCTGCAGGGAAAGAGGGCACCTGGGGACTGATCCAACACGCCCCAGATTCCCAAAGCAAGCGAAGGAACGAAAGCTCTCACCGAACATGCTGGTTGAAGTTGAAGACGCACCGGGTATCTGGTACGTGGCTGACTCCTGCTATGACGGATGGGTGTTTGATGATAATTTGGACGAACCTGACTGGGTTTGGCATTTTGCAGATCAGACACCGTCGACCAGAAAGCTAGACATCTTCCCACCCACCGACAGCAGATGGCAGAAAAAGGCAACAGGGAAAGTGAAGGGGAACCCAACGAAAATCAACACCAACCCCCTCACAGACTCACGGGTAATCAAAGAAGAAAAGGCAAGGGAAGACTTGTTGTGTGATCTTGATACTATAAGGGAACAAATTGAGCAAGAATACAACAAGAACCCAAAATCATTCAGGGAAGCCCTGATGTAGGCTGAACTCCGCACCTACAAACGAAGACACAGGAGAACAAAAGAACCTTGTGCGGGGCTGGTAGTCTGTAGCGGACCCACCAGGTGTGGTGCTCCGCTAGTGGTAGAGATGGAGATGGAGGAAGAAGGGGGGAGCGAGATGGCACAACGCGGCTCCCCACGCAAGACTCCAACGCACGTACTCCAAAATGTGCAAGTGATGAATGAGGACGAAAACAGACAACTGCTGGGGTATACACCCCAGCCGACTTACGGGAGTGAACTGGACTGGCTGGTACCGATAGAGGTACCGGCCTGGACTGGACTGGACTGCCCCCGAATAGAACACAGGCTTGTGAGAACAGGCCAAGGGGCTGGTCTCACAGGCCAACCAACCAGAGGTCCGCTACACGATCCTCGGCCTGTGATGGATCGCCTAGATGCAAACACGCTTCCGTCAAGAAGCGGAACTCTACCAAAGAAAAGAAAAAAACCTGAGTAGTCTAGGATGCGGAGCAAGCTCCATGTTGAGTCCATGCGATGCAACCTAGGCTAGAAAATGTCACAAATCAGCAATGTCACAGCTAACAGCCTAGTAAGTAAAAGCAAAAGCAACTAACTAGCATACATGTCCTAGGAAAGCAGAAGCAATTAACTAAAATACATATCCTAGGAAAGCGGAAGCAACTAACTAGCATACATGTCCTAGGAAAGCAAAAAGTAATGACAACTAGATCCTAGAATGTTGGAGGCAGTAGCCTCAGTCTGGAAACAGCTGACTAGTGTATAAGTCCTAAGAACAGCAAAAGCAGAGCAGCTAAATCCTAAAAAAAATGTCAGAGGTCGTAGCCTCAGTCTGAGAGCAACAAAGCAATCAACAAGACAACCATATGTCACAGGAGGAGTGTGTCGCAAACCAAAGGGTGGGATGGTCTCTGGGGGAGGCGAATGCAGCCTAGGGGTCGAAAACTCCTAAGGGCATCCACACATAGAAAACAGGGAGACACATGTCATCAGGCTCAATGAGGGTAGGGAACTGGGAGCGAACAGAACCAATGACCCTAACAGATAGACCATCAGGGCGGGTAAAGCTCGGCTAAGGGGTGACCGCTATGGAGGGTCGACCATGCAAGGGAACAAGGGAGCCTGGTATACTGGGCGCACCTACATGAAGCATGCGGGGCTGCCTAACTAGGGCGTGAGGGCCGGCAGAGGGTAGGAAGGTGATGGGTAAGGGAATCATGGAAGTCGGAGCTAGATCCGTAAGATGGGAAGCCAGGGCAACGCTACGGTCCCGATGCCTATGCGTATACCAATGGAGAACCCAACTCAGAGGAACCCGGCTAAAGGGAGACCATCATGCGACACAAGCAGGGTACTGTACAAGGTAAAGTGGTAAGAGAGTGATGACGTCTGAAGTAGGCAGAGCTGATCGTGACGAAGTCCATGAAGCTGCCGATGACGTCCACGATGAGAAGTCCGGAATGTCGTCGAGGAAGAGTCGCAGCGTCGACGAGCTGAAGTAGCAAAACTGGAGTGGGTGGAGTACTGAGAAGTCAAAAAGACGTGGGAAGGTAAGTCAGAGTCAATCGTCGTATCGAGCAGGACGACGACGAGTGCGCTGTGAAAGCTCAGAAGCATCTGGCTGCTGCTGAAGGTCTGCCTCAGATGGAGCAGGCTCGACTTCAGCGGTCTCCTCAGTCGGGGGAGAAGGAGGAGGGTCAGTGGGCTGAGAAGGAGCAGTCAACCCAGCACGACGAGCACGGTCATAGGCACGCACCAACATGCGAGTGTGCTGCAAGTGCTCGATGGGCTCCCAGGTAGCCTCCTCATCAGGGTAACCCTTCCAACGTACGAGATACTCGAAGTGGGGAGGGTTGTCGTCGGTGACTCGGCGACAAATGATGTCTGAAACGAGGAACTCCTCGTGGCCATCCACCATGATGGGTGGAGGGCGCTCGTATGGTCGTCCAGCGAAACGCTCAGACGGTCTGCGGTAAGGACGCAGTAACGAGACGTGGTAGACATCGTGCACACGAGCCTGGCGTAGGTAGTCGGGCAGCTTCACACGAAAGTTGACCGGGCTAGATGCCGTATCAGAACCGACGGCCTGGAGGATGCGGCATGGGCCAAAGAAGCGACGCCGAAACTTGCGAAGCGTGTCCGCTTCGAGCTGTAGGTGGCGGGCGTCGATAAGCACGTCATCACCGACTTTGAATGGATGGTCCATCCTCGATCGGTTCGCACGTGCTGCCATGCGAGTCTGGGAAGCGGCTATGTGCTCATGTGCGGTCTTCATGATCAATGTCATGTGTGCAACCCAATCATCCAGTGTGGGACAACTCGTGTCGGGGTGCATCTGTGACGGTCGAAGGAAATCCGCGGGAACACGAGGGTGACAGCCGAGGTCGCAATAGTAAGGCGACATCCCCGTAGCTGGCGAGACGGCGAGGTTGTAGGCTATTTCCGCGTGGGCAAGATGGAGATCCCACTGCTGGTCGTCACGAACAATCTTTCGGAGGATATCTCCGAGAGTCCTGTTCGTGATCTCGGTCTAACCATCACTCTGTGGATGGTAAGACGAGGAGAAGCGGAGCTGAGTGCCATATACCTCGTGGAGCCGTCGCCAGAATCGGCTGGTAAAGCGCGGGTCACGGTCAGATATGATGCTCAAAGGAAAGCCGTGGTCACGCACGACTCGGTCAAACACGATGTCGGCGACCTCACGTGCACTGATGGCATAGCGCCACGGAACAAAGCGTGCACGCTTCGTGAAGCAGTCGACGACGACCAGGATAGCATCATGACCGCGAGGGGTCGGAGGACGAAGGGGACCGATAAAGTCCATCGAGATGGACGGCCAACGACCCTCAGGGATAGGAAGAGGCTGGAGCAAACCATAAGGCAGGTGGTTCGCACTGTTCACCTCCTGATAGGTGGGACACTCTGCGACGTAGTCCTTCACAAAGTCCTTGCGCTTCGGCCAGACGTACAGGCGGCTCACACGAGCCAACGTCTTGTGGAAGCCCATATGACCAGCGGTTGCCTGGTCATGGAACTCTGCTACTGCTCGGACACGTAGCTGTCCAGTGGAGGGAACGCAAATACGGGGCTCTCTGGTGCATTATGAACCGTGCCAGTACACGAGACCATTGTCCCCGAGAGAGTAGTTCGGGACGGTCTTGCCACTCTGAAGGGTCGCATGGATGTCGCGATAGTCAGGGCAGTGGCGGTACTGAGTGCGAAACTCGTCAATCACCGAGTGGTGGACGGTGGTGACCGAGATGGAAGAGAGCTGGATCTGCTCCTGGTCGTGGTCAGGGCGCCGGGATAAGGCATCTGCGACCCGATTAGTCTCACCCTTGATGTGCTCAGTGGTGAAACTAAACTCGGATAGGTCGCGCCACCAGCGAGCCTGTCGAGGAGTGAGCTTCGGTTTTGTCAGGAAAGTCTGGACAACAGAGTTGTCCGTGCGCACCGTGAACGGTGCCCCGTGCAGGTAGTGACGCCAGTGCCGAGCGGCATAAACTACTGCGAGAACCTCACGTTCATCAACAGTGTAGTTTATCTCGGCGGGCAGAAGCTGACGGGAGTAGAAGGCTATCGGACAATCACCTGAGCGAGACTCGACAGTGCCTTCCTCGGCGATGGTAGGAGAATAGTCAATAGAAGGCTCGTCGGTAGCTGGACGAGTAGGAGTCAGTCGGGAAGCAGTGGTAGGGGTAGGTGGTAGGAAGCGAGGGATACGAGGATGAGAGGAATCAGGCGAGGAGGGGAAGACCTGAGAAAGCACTGCTCCTACAGCAAAGTCTGACGCATCGGTGGTAAGGATAAAAGGGCGATCAAAATCGGGCAGGTGAAGAACCGGTGCGCATGTCACCGCCTTCTTGAGGGCGCGGAAGGCGTCCTCGTGGAGGGGTGTCCAAGCCCAGGGTGGGTTCTTCCGGAGGAGGGTGGAGGTAAGGATGTAGGAATACCTAGCGTATCCCCGGATGAAGTTACTATAATAGCTGGTGAGGCCTAGGAAGCTGCGAAGCTGCTTGGCGGATGTGGGGGCGGGCCACTCCGCAATAGCAGTGATCTTCGCGTCATCCATGTGGAGACCCTGGTCAGACACGTAGTGTCCTAAGAAATCCACTTTGTGCTGGGCAAAGCGGCACTTGCTCAGTTTGGCATAAAAGCCATGTCTGCGCAAGCAGTCAAGGACATCGCGGAGGTGTCTGAGGTGCTCCTCAAGGGTATGACTGTAGACCAGGATATCGTCGAGGTAAACGAGAACGTACTGCTCCAGGATGTCCCTGAAGATGTCGTTCATCGCCCTCTGAAAGGTAGCGGGTGCGTTGGTGAGGCCGAATGGCATCACCGTGAACTCGTAGTGGCCGAAACGCGATCGGAACGCTGTCTTCGGCTGGTCGGTTGCAGCGATGCGGATCTGATGGTAACCGCTACGAAGATCAATCTTCGTAAAGAAGCGGTTGCCAGCTAGGCGGTCGAACAGCTTGTCGGAACGAGGCATGGGGTAGTTGTTCTTAGCCGTGTAGCGGTTGAGACCAAGGTAGTCGATGCAGAGACGAAGAGTTCCATCCGCTTTGCGAGCAAAGAGGACGGGTGCACCCCACGGGGAGTTGCTGGGTTTAATGAAACCCAGTCTCAGGAGCTCCTCAAGCTGACGCTTGAGTTCGGTGGCCTCAAGGATCGAGAGTCTGTAGGGTACCTGGTGGTGAACACGATAGTCAGGCAAAAGCTGAATGGAGTGCTCGACGTCACGCATCGGTGGGATGCCGGCATATGAGAACGACGATGGGAAAACGTCGTGGTACTCTCGGATGAGGTCACAAACTGCGGGCTCCAGGTCAGCCGTATATCGTGCGAGTTCCTCAGCGTCAGCGTCAACGCGCTACGGCGGGGTGGACTCGACGGACGGCGGAGGGACGAAAGTAGAGATGGGAGCCATGGAGATAGAAGGAGGATCTGGCTCCAGAGGGATAAGCTCGGCGTCGGGACAGGGTGGATCATAGTGTAAGAGGTCTGTCACGTTCACCATAAAGAAGGTGACGTCGTCCTGTCGGATGAAGTGAGCGAACTGCCGAGGCGAGGTGATAGTGATAGAAGGAGATGGTGTGGGCGCGGAAGGCTCCGGGGGAGGAGGATCGGGGCGTGGTGTCGCGGTGGTACCTATGAAAGGTACGCGATACGTTTGTCCACACTTCGTTTTGAGAACGAGAGTGTTGGTCGCCCAATCGGCCTCGGTGCTGCGGAGCCGGCGAGACCACGGGGTGCCGAGAATGAAGTCGTACCCTGTTTCCATCACATCGAAATGTGCAGAGGAGCGGTGGCGACGAGACGCCGGGGAACGATCAGTCGGCTCGAGAGTGAGGAAGAAAGGGAGGTCGGTGACCATCTGATCGAAGAAGCGCTGAGTCTTGTCATCCCCTAAGGTAATGGAGATGGGAGTCGGAGACCCTTTCGTGGGTAAGCGGGCTTCTTTCACCACGCGTGGGTGAATGCAGTCGCCCTGAGAACCGGAATCCCACAACGCTTAGTACACCCTCGTGGAGGTCCCGAGTCGTACTGGGATGATCGGGAGGGTGCGATCAGGGTCAGAGAGGATGGTGAGAAGGCGACGCAGTGCAGCGACATGGAGGGTGAGTCGCTCCTGACGAGCCTGGAGCATGCTCAAGTCCAGAAGAGAGGATACAACGTCCTCGCGAGTTGCAAGCTGCTCGCTGCAACGGGCTGAGCGAATGGCTCGACGCGTCGGTAGTCGCGGCGGGGAAGGAGGGGAGACGGTGGTCTGCGGAGGCGCAGACGGTACTGCGACAGAGGGATGAGTACACTCTGTCGAGTCATGCGATACCTCAACTCCAGTAGCGAGAGGGGCGAACCGCGACGGAGATGTCGGGAAGCCCACTACTGAGGAGGGCGCAGGTGTACACTGCACCGTGGCTAGGAGGCGCCGCGGGGATGTGAGGCGCCGGGGGGGGACGAAGCACGACGCTGGCGGGAAAGGTCAGCGTAGTGGCGATCGAGGGCGGTAGCGTAAAGGCACCGCGAGGAGGTATGACCGTCCAAGCGGCAACGCAAACACCCACGTCGGCCCAAAATAGCCGCGCGCTCCTCAGCGGAAAGGACACCGCGAGGAGGAACAAAGCCCTGAGGGAGGTCCTGCTGAGGGACCTCGGGGGGCGACGCGCCAGCGTGACCAGGGCGGCTGCGTGCCCGGGAAAGGGTGGAGAGGATAAGCTGGAGGCGCTCAGCCATAGGGAGAGTAGGGTCCTCCAGGTGGTGCTGGACGGCATCGCTGAGGTCGAGGTCATCGCTATGATCACCCGCTGGCGACAGCGGGGCACCAGCGTCCTGCACACCATACTCGATTGGGCTGAAGCGGCGCGAGAAGTGGCGGCCCTGCTGCGTGGAACGGCGGGGGCGACCGCGAAAAGGGGAACGACGCTGGGAAGTGCCGTGAGAGGAGGAGGCGGCGTAACCCGTGCGCTGAGGCTGGGAGGAGGAGGCGGGGTGAAGACGGGCTCGCATCCGCTCATGGTTCCTGGCCGCCTCGTAAACCTGCGGGGCTGATGTGAACTCGTACCGCCATAGCTCGGAGCGGTACTCGAGCGGGAGGCTGGCCAAGAAACGATCGATAAGGGCAGCCTCGGGAAGGAACGCCACGTCACGAATGAGGCGGGCGTCCTGAAAGACCTGGATGTGGCGATCCAAGCCGGCAGCGCCACCAGAGCCGGACCAGCATGTAGTGACGACACGCTCGAAGGCGTCAGTCATGTCATATCGGGTTCCGAAGCGATCCTCGAGGAACGCCTGGAAATCCATGAAGGTCGGAGTCCGACCCTCACGCAGGGAGTAAGCATAGAAATCCTCCCAGGCGTCGAAAGGAGCACCACGCAGGCGCGTGGAGAGGTGACCCGCCCACGTGTCGGGTGTGGCGCCCATGAGCTGGAGCGTGCGGGTGGCAGACTGCAGCCACCTAGACACGCGTATGCCTGTACCGTCATACAAGGGAATGTCCGATAAGCGGATGCATGGTGCGCCACCGTTTTGGCGGCGAGGGGAACGGGGAGCACGGGACTGCGCTACGGCGGAATAAGTCGGCGCAGGTCCTGGAGGAGGAGGCGCAGCTGACTGTACGCCAGGGCCGCATGGAGGAGCGGCGGGGGAAACAGCGGCAGGCTGCACGGGAGCTGCGGTGGAAGAGGTCGCAGCAACCGAGGGGATGGGGAGGAGGTAGGATGGAGATGGGTAGGGTGCAGGGCGAGGGAAGCGAGCCTGCATGGAAGGAAGAATAGAGGAAGAAGAGGGTGCACCGGAAGGCGCGACCACCTGTGAGGGTGGGGGTGGCTGAAGGCGTGAGAGGGCGAGGTCGGTCCGGAGCCGGGCGATCTCGTCCTCGAGACCTCGAACGTAGGTCGAGCGAGGTGTGGCAGGGGGAGACGCACGAGCGGCGCGAGGCATCCCACAAGGGGGAGAGCCAGATGGCGATGCGGTCGTTCGAAGAGGGGGGAGAAGTGGGGCACCCGGAAAAGCTGAGACCATGGTAGCAGGTTGTGGTCCCGTGGCGGTCGTGACCGGAATCTGGGCGGGTGCACCCGTGGACTGAGGGAGGCCTGACTCGTGGCGGTTGTCGTGCTAGGTGCGTGGACGGTCACCAAGATGGCCGGGTCGGGGGCAGCGAAGGAGGAAGCTCCACCATGTCCACCCTGTCAGGAGGCAGGGGACCCGGACTAGGAGCCAGGAGAAGAGATAGAGTGAGGAGAGGAAGGACGACCAGCGTCCTGGAGTTGCCGCACGCCGGCGGCAAGGGTCGCCACCTGCGCCTGTAAGGGTGCGAGGGTCGCGAGTTGTGCCCGCATGGGCGCAAGGGTCGCGAGTTGCGCCTGGATGGGCGCCAGGAAGAAGGTGAGGAGGGTGTGCAGATCCCCCTGGGGCTGATGGCCCTGGTCCGCCGGCACGGTGTGGAGCCCGATGCCGTGGTCATCGCCGTGTCGGCGGCGTGTGACACACCGTCAGCCATAGGGAGATGACGGAAAGGACTGGAGGGGTCCAGAAGAGGTCAGCGTGAGCGGAGGGCGTAGGGGGAAGTCCGCGGTAGAAAGCGGCGAACGGCGCTAGCAAGGCTAGCGCGGGCGCCGTCAAAGGGGGAGGGGTGGTTCGGGTCCAGGGTGCCCGAAGAGCACGGGGAAGAAGGGGGGTTTTTAAGAACCCTAAACCCTACAAAAACCCTAAGAAAACCCTAACCGAAGTTCAAGTGGTTAGGGTAGGGTACCGGTGACCTAATCAAGAAAGTAAAATAGCAAGCATAGGGGGGGGAAAGAGGGAGAAAAATAAATAAACAGCGAGATTTCGAGGGAAAATAAAAATAAACAAGAAAATAAATAAATAATAAAAATAATTAAAGAAATAAGTAAAAAGGTGTGAAGGGACAACAATATTTATTTATGTTTTATTTTATTTTATTTTATTTTTTGAAGTTTTTTTCGGCAGCATTTCCCTACCCCCCACGGGGTCAAGAATGTGCCAAGGGGAAAGGAGAGACCAAGGTGAGCACACTAGGTGTCAAGATGCCGCAAAAAAATAAAAATAAAAAAAATTAGAGAATAAATAAAGAAATAAAGAAATAATAAATAAATAAATAAATAAATAAAGAAGTAAATAAGTGGATGAGGAGGTGGGGAGAAACAGAGTATCTGATTTGTCAAAAATTTTGGCAGCATTTCGTTACCCCATGGGGTCGAAGTGTGCCGAGAAGACTAAGTGGAAGAAAAACAGAAAATTTTGGCAGCACTTCTTTACCCCCACGGGGTCAAAACGTGTGCCGAAAGTAGTAAAGATTAACACCTAACAAGATTGAAGGTTGCCGCAAAGGAAATCGAATTTTCAGAATGACGAAAAAAATAAATAAATAAATAAATGAAATAAATCAGAAAATGAGAAAAGAGGGTGGGGAAGAAGATGAGAAAACTAACGACTAATCAGATTTAGGGTTGCCGTAGAGAAAATCGAATTTTCAGAATAAATAGAAAAATAAATGAAATGAATCCGAAAATGAGAAAAGAAGGTGGGAGAGAAGATAATTCAAAATTTTTTGAAAAAGAAAAAGATAAATCAAAAGGAAGATAGAAAAAAGGAAAAAACAGAAAAATTCGAAGTGGGGGGGAATGGGAATGAAAAAGTGAAGGAGAAGAGAAGGAAATAGGTGGGTAAGAGAAAAAGATGAAGTGGGAGGTGGGGGGATGAGATGGGTTGGGGAAAGGTGGAGAGAGATCAAGAAGGAAGGAGAAAAGAAAGAGGGGAGACAAGAAAGAAATGAAGAAAAGAGAGTATAGAATGGGTGGTGGGAGAAAAGGTGGGGTGAGGGGTTATGAATAGAGGAGAGAGAGAGAGAGAGAGAGAGAGAGAGAGAGAGAGAGAGAGAGAGAGAGGGTGGGTTAGTAGAGGGAGGGGAGATAGAAAAGTGATACCTGGCCCTTGGTGTCTCCAAGGGCACAAGGTGCACCAAGACCAGGAGGGTCTTGGCCTTCGCTGCAGCAGCGAGGTGGAGGAGAGAGGGGGCTGAGATCTTGATCAGCCCCTACTGCAAATCTGCAGATCTAGGGTATGCTGTGTGAGCATACCCTCACCGGTGTAGAGCGGCCCCTGAAACACAGGGGGTCTTCAAGTCCACAGCAAAGTGCCACGTGGCACTGTAGGTGGCCACGTGCACATGCAGCAGCAGCCACGGGGGGGGGGGGGAAAATAGCAGCCTCCCCCGTTGCTGCCTTGCTGGCCACTGCTCGCTGCTGGGGGGGGGGGGGGGGTAAATAGCCAGCACGGCACCTCTTCAACACGAGTGTGCCGTGTTACAAGGCTACAGACACTCTGTGGCGAGTGTGTTATGAGGCTGCTTACGCACGCGCATGGCTCGGCAGGCGCCTGGGTTCAAACCCCAGCAGCAGCAGTTGCATCCCAGATCTTGATGATAATATAAATCCGGCACGTGTCAGCTGCAGCAGGCGCCACCTTTTCTCCTCCGTTTTCGCTGCAAAACGCCCGAAAACCACCGAAAAAACCCGCTGTCGGGTTTGCTGTATTTCCCGCTGTGCGGAGTGCTGGACAGCTGTACGGGGTGGTGGGTGGGAGCGGGGACCGTTCCTGCTCCGATACCAATGTAGCGGACCCACCAGGTGTGGTGCTCCGCTAGTGGTAGAGATGGAGATGGAGGAAGAAGGGGGGAGCGAGATGGCACAACGCGGCTCCCCACGCAAGACTCCAACGCACGTACTCCAAAATGTGCAAGTGATGAATGAGGACGAAAACAGACAACCGCTGGGGGATACCCCAACGGACTGACGGGACTGGACTGGACTGGCTGGTACCGACAGAGGTACCGGCCTGGTCGGGACTGGACTGCCCCCGAATAGAACACAGGCCTGTGAGAACAGGCCAAGGGGCTGGTCTCACAGGCCAACCAACCAGAGGTCCGCTACATAGTCGGATTGAGAAGGATGGAGGTCAAAAGAGAAGAAAGGCTGAGGAGTCGGGAAAAGACAAGGATGCAATAATGGAAGAAACCGGAAAAGGGAATGACACAGCAGTTGAAGAACTAATGGATGACGAAGAAGATAAAGAATCTGAAGGAAAGAACAGCCCAACAGAAACAATGTCCGAAGAAGAAGACCGATCCAAACGATCGTTGGCTTGGCTCAAGGAATATGTCGAGAAGGTCAAGAGAGAAAGGGAACACGCTTTTGATATCCGGGTAGCCTGCCTGAAACATGCAGAGAGATCGCAGGAGAAAGGCATGGTCCCAGGGATCAGCAATTCTTCCAATCAATATGAGATGCTCAGAAAGGAGAAGGCGGAAGAACTCTCTGAATATGCAGCCTTCAGATACGCAGAAAAGAAGAGAGCGAGAGAACAAGGAACAAAGGACAAGGGCAAAATGATCCCCACGACCAAAGGAGATTTTCAGGATCTGCGCCCCAAAGCGAGAAAGACAAACAAATCTCAGAAAAAAAAGGGGTCAAATACAGAACAGCCAGGGAATGAGGAGGAATCAGAACATGCCCTCTTGGAGAAAGAAGCAGCAGTGGTTCTGTCACAAACAGAAAAACTGAAGAAATGGAATAGGGAGTACACCCCAGAGTTCTCACTACTATCACACAGATAGCAAGGAGCCAAGCCCCAATGGTGGCGGAGGCGGCCAAGGCAGCTAAAAGAACGCTGAAAAATATCCGGCCTCTCATCGCGGCCAGGTACTTGGCCAAAGCACGAGAGTGGCAGGTCGCCACAGATGTCTCCTTCAAAATCCCATACTTCACGGAAGGAGCAAATGTGATCAAGGAGCTGAAGAGACAAGTAACAATGGAGAGTCCTTGTTTGAGACAGTCGCAGTGGAAGAAAGCCAGATAAACACCGACATGCAAGAAGACACCGACACCTCACAGAAGAAAGAAGGAGAGATGAACAAAAACTCCCAAAGAGCTTTCTCACCCCTGATCGTTAAAATGCTAGAGGCAACGGAGCTAAAATCAGGGGTGTTCTGGAAACCATGGAGAACAGTGGCCGAGGTCCCATACAGCATTCTGTCAGGTCTGGGCACATCAGCAGAACTGATGGCTACAACAGTCGCAGAGATTGTCTCAAAGGGGCTGTTGGAGGGAGATGAGGATCTGCAATCAAGAGCGTACTTTACGGACAGTGAGAGATTCTACAAAAGTGAAGAATCTGATGGGGAATCTTGGGACGGTGACGACGAGAAGGAAAGGCCTGACATACTTTCCGACCTGGAGAAAATTGACAGGGGAAAAGAAAGTTTGGAGCTTCTCGACAGCGCAGGAGAAGGGACTCCCTCCACCTCGAAGGACAGTGGACTAAAGACCTACCTAGAGGCAATTGGGGAGGATGGGAGCTCGGAGGGTTCACCCCCTCCTCACTAGAGGCCCTCTTCTCATCAACCCCTAACCTGGTAGAGTGTCAGCCATGGAACAGTACAGGTTCAAGGCGAATGAGATGGGACAGCGTACAAACTGGAAAGCCCAAGGTCTGGTAATCAGAAGCTGGAACGTCAATGGGTTGGGAAATATAATAGATAAAGAAGATAAGATGAACGGCATCTTAACAGGGATGACAATGATCAACAACAAACCAGCAGACATCTTATTACTACAAGAAACCCACCTCACCTTCTCAAGAGAACACGATAGAATCCGCTCCTTTCTCGGAAGGAAGTTGGGGGACCTGAAGGACGAAATATGGTCGGCAGACCCCACCTCAAACACAAAGGGAACTGCTATTCGGATCCCCAAATCGTCCCGTGTATACACAGCAGGTACAATCATAGACAAGAAAGTTGATCTGCACGAAGGGAGATGGAGTCTTCTCCACCTCAAATGGAAGGAAGAGGATCTAGTGCTAATTAATATTTACGCGCCCAACTCATTGACCGAAAGATCAGCCTTCGTGTCAAAAATCAGAGACCTGATCCCGACAATGATCCCTTGTATTCTAGCGGGAGACTGGAACGCCACCATAGACCCAGCCACGGACCGCATATCACGGCCCTCTCATTCTCCTAATCCAGCTGAAGCTTACCCGATCAGGAAACTAATGCTAGATCAGAACCTGGTGGATCCATTTAGAACCCTACACCCCACTGGGAGGGCATTTACACTGGTAAAAAAGAACCATGCCCACCACACCGCCTTCTCGCGAATAGATTAGTTCCTGCTGTCAAAAATATTGTTGGGGACGGTCAAAGAGGCGGAGAATCTACCGCTAGCCCCATACAAGGGGCTGGATCACAAACCCATAGAACTAGTGATATGCTTCGACCAAATAATTAAGAAAGTAGCCAGCTTCCATAAGCTCAACAACGCACTCCTCCTCAGCCAGACCTTTCAAAAATAAATACATGACTGTTGGGTTGGCCAGAGAAGCTCACGATTGAGTACAGAAACCCGATGGGACTGGTTCCAAAGGAGCTACTCTACCCTCTCGACAGAAGCGGCCAGAATCTCCAGGAAGCTTGCCTCTATGAGGAAACAAAGAAGACAAACTCTAGAATTTGCCCTGAAACTAGCCGAAATCAACTTGAGCGAGAACCCTTCCTCCCCACTCTACAACGAACTGTTTGAGAAGGCAAGAGAGGAACTGGCAATGTGGAAATGGTGGGACCTGAAGGGACTGCAAATAAGAGCTAGAATGTGCGAGTATGAACTCAACGAATCTATGACCAAGCACTTTTTCGCACGAATCAAAGCCAACTCAAGAGCTAGTACGATAGAAGGCTTGAGACCGTCGACGGCCCCAGAACTGATGAGAACGGATAGTGAAGGGATGTTGGAGATAGCTAAGGATTTTTACAAGGACCTCTATCAGTCCAAGACCTTCACTCCAATAACATCCAGCACGAGGGAAGCGAGGGAGAGAATGCTCCAATACCTAGAACGAACAATAACAATTGAGCAAATGGATGAGCTAGACAAACCTATCACAGCAGAGGAACTACATCAAGCCCTAATAAGAATGAACAACGGCAAATCCCCAGGGGTGGACGGTTTAACGAAAGAATTATGGGAGAAATTTTGGCCACTCCTAGGTCCTGATCTGCTCAACTTCTACAATGACTGCTGGACCAGAGGAGGACTGGGGAATCTACTCAGCAGCAGCGTGGTCACTCTACTCTACAAAAAAGGAGAAAAGGCAGACATCAAGAATTACAGGCCCATCTCATTACTCACACTCCCATACAAAATCTTGGCGAAGACCCTCTCCAATCGGATTGCCAAAATAACAGATAAATGCTTTCACATCGATCAATCAGGCTTCATTCCGGGCAGATACATCCTAGACAACGTACTAGCATTGAATGAAGCAGTAAGGAAAACCAGAGAAAGGAGAATAAACACAGCCATATTGTTCTTTGACTTCGAAAAAGCGTACGACCAAGTCAATTGGGACTTTATGGAAGCCAGCATGGAAAAAATGGGTGTAGGACCGAATTTCAGGAAGTGGGTCCATATACTCTACAAGGATGCAGTGGGTTGTGTCCAAATTAATGGACTGTTATCAGACTGTTACCCGATCTCCCGATCGGTACGACAAGGCGACCCACTAGCACCATCAATATTCCTCTTTGTGATGGAACCCATCGCATCTTTCTTACGCAAGGACCCGTCGATCCATAGACTACCTGTCCTCAACACGGGCATGGCGCATCGAATAGACTTCCCGACAATAATCATGTTTGCAGATGACCTAACAGTGTTGATTAGAGCGTCAGACTCATCCTTTAGGACACTCGTCAAAGCAATGGAAGCCTTCAGATTGGCCTCAGAAATGAAGATCAATTGGGGAAAAACAATAGGATGGTGGTTATCGGACGAGGAACCCCTCCAACTGCAAGGGGAGGAAGCAGCCATGACCTGGGAAAGGCCGGAATCGCCTACCCGATATTTGGGTATACTCATGACTAGGGAGGGCCTGGCACCTCAAATGGGACAGAGCATATTAGCCAAACAAATCAACAAGATGCGGAGATGGGCCAATACCTTCACCTCCCTCATCGGTCGAGCCCTGGCGCTTAACACTTCAATGTTCTCAATGACGTGGTACATAGCGTCCATCTGGACAATCCCAGACAACTCCATTAAAGAGTTGAATCGGAAGGCCAAAGCATATCTATGGTCAGGAGACCCTAATAAAGAGAATGGCATACCTAAGATTGCCTGGCATTACATCACGAGGAGTCCCCAGAAGGGAGGATTGGGAATCATAGACCCTGGAACAGAAACGAAAGCACTGCAGACCAAGTGGATTATCAAACTTTTGATGACCCCCGATACATCATGGAACAATTTGGCCCTAGATAACATTAGATCGCTGGCTCCCGTACCTGCACCAGAAGACATGTCAGGGACATTTTGGATAATGAACAAGGAATGGGTCATAACCACAGGAAGGAAGAACCGGAAAAGGAGCGAAGGACAGGAGGGCTGCAGACCGCCTACCCCATACTGGGCAGCACTACTGCGGATATGGAGAGGTATAATGCCAGTTAAAACTAATAGGCCCAGATCCAAGGACGAAGTGTTGAGGCAACCACTCTTTGGAAATCAATGGATAACGAATGAGAGCGATAATCCCATCCCTCTAGAGCTCAAATGGCTATCTTGGATAAAAAACGGAGTATGGAAAGTCGGCCATCTATGGAGTGAAGAGCGAAAAAGATGGAAAACAGAACAAGAAATCAGTGCTCAATTGAAGGGACGTCACAGAAGGAGACCAAACCTTGAATACATTCTTAATCTCATCCCTCAAGAATGGAAGACAATCTTGATAGAGGCCACACCATGGAAAATCGGAGAGTGGGGAGTTTTGATACAAGAGACGACTCCGCCCAGAGCCTTCCAGTTCTCCCACATGCAACAAAATTCATCCACGAACGCCACATTTCTCTCATTTCCGATCTCTGGGTCCGCTAATAACATGCCGACAATTCTTAACAGCGGGGTGGAATCAGAAGTAATGGACTTCTTCCTACTCAGGAAAGTAAGAGTCATTGGATCATGGCCTAAGTCAATCTTTAGACCMGACACGGCGGYTCATAACCTGGAGTTCGACMCGGCGGAATGGATATGGAAACCGGATAAGACCAAGAACATCAAAGCCAAAGTCCCAATTCATGAATACACAGTTAAATTGGGGTACAGGCTACTACTCAAAACTAAAGACCCATACCCCATCATCAAGAAAAGATGGCAGGACATACTGGGATAGGAAGCAGATAAATTAACTCAGATCCAGTGGAAAAAGTTCAAAGCCATCAGGCCGATCAAGATAAGAAGCCTACAATGGTTAATCACCTATGCCGCACTTCCAGTAAACCAGTGGCTACTCACTAGACGGAAAGGCTCAGACCCCAACAGCTCGGACCTATGCACAGTCTGCACAGAAGGGGCGATAGAGGATATAGTACACTACTTAGTACGCTGTAAGGAAGTGACAGATTACTGGACAAGAGCCTCGACACTATGGGATTCCCTTTTTCCGATCCCCTTCCCAGAATAACCCATCCAACTTCTCTTACTGACTAACATCCCTGAACGGCTGCAAAAGACACAAAGGATCTGGTTTGAGATCATAAGGAAAGTGACACTGTGGGTCATATGGAAGGAGAGATGCAGCAGAACGATCGAAAGAGTTGCTAACTCACGCGAGAAGGTCTGGGCGGAGACGAAGACGATGATACAAGCTCAAATCCTTTGTAAATGGCGAAGGATCAAAAAGTCATGGCCAGAGGACGAGGAGCAACGATTGAAGACGAGGCAGAGTTTCAGCAGGACATGGCTGATAAACAAAAAAATCGCAGACCTGCGAGAGGATCGCATCCGTTGGAAGGATTGGCACAACTCCATTGCAGGGAGGGATCAACACCAACAGACATCGGTGGTTGAGCAAAGGACAATCGGAGGAATCCTCCATGAGGGAGAAATATGACGACAACAACGACGGGACAGTACAGAACGAAACGGATATGACCTAAGGATACTCTGAAAGGGAGGATTGCCCCAAGGAAAGGACAAAAAAAGAGAAGAATGCAATTGTTGAAAAGGACTTGCGCAACTCAACTCAGGCAGGAACTACCAGCTACAGACAAATGTGGATGGGCAGAACATATTCAGACCAGACCCCCCCCGAGAGAGACCAACGTCGACTACAATGACGAGACATTTCAGAAACGAGCAGAGGAGACCCAAGGCTATAGCGAAAGAGTTGCCAAAAAATCCAAAGGGTGCTGGTGATGGCTAACGAACGAGGGTTTAGGGTCTAGGGTTTTAGTGACAAGCAGAAAAGGGGAGGACAGGTAAGAAGGGACAGGGGAGGCTGTGGCACAGGAGCAGGATGGATAAATGGGTGTTCACCCGCTAACTTGACAAAGGGCGACCTCTTCCTAGAAGGAATAGATTTATCTGACAAATCTGGGTTCCAGGTCTGAGAGGAAAGAGTGCAGCACGGCAAGCTGACAGTCAATCCTCCACCAAGGTGGAACAATCAATGCTGCTCAGGGGTCCTTCGGCCAGACGGAAGGAAGCGTGCGTGATTCTTCAATGTAATGTATGTTTTGACTTGCCGGTGGAATAGGAACCGGACTGACGCT